TCAGCAGCATGTACTGTGGCCTCATGGAGGCTGGAAGTCTGGGGCACTCCTGAGCAGCAACTTCCCCATGTTGTTGCACCCGGTGTGAAGTCAACTCTGCTAGCTAGAGTCCCTGTTACTCTTGAAGAAGATGGAACAGCAGAGTCCACCTGCAGTCCCATTGGCCTGAGCAGGCTTCATCAAGTGAAGTGAGTTGAGGAGTCCTCCATCTGTGAAAACGCTGAAATCCAAACCCAAATGTGATTGGTTCTGCTTCAGCATTTCTCAAATGACTCCACTGGGGAATGGCTGTGGCTCAGGACTAATTAGCTCATAATGGACGCAGAGCATTCTGGGATGCAAGCCTGGAGGCTATCAGGGGAGCACTAATGGGCCAAACATGACCCCAAGGACTCTGTGTGCAGGCTGGCCCTTCTCTGGATGGTGGTGCACAAGTAATCATAATTTGTTACATCAGGACTGCTTCCATCCCCACGCAGAGGGAGTCAAGTCCATGACCATTCTTAGCGAGAGAATCCTGCTTTTTTTTTAAAGCAATCTGGTCACCAGTGCAACATGGAGGGTCTGAGTTGTATCTGTGGAGTTCAAGTCACATCTCTGTGCCTGTCCTGGCTCTGAAACTTTGGTTATATTGTTTTGACATCATGTGTACCTTCCCATTAGAATTAAATGGGACAGTGAATACACAGAGCAAACCTCCACTTTTACTGTCTGGATATTTTCCCAATTCTGTGAAGCAGAGAGACCTTTAGCATTCCAAACAGAAGTTGGTATTTGTGTATTCCACGTTATTGCTCTGTGGTTTGGGGAGATCATATGTGGAAGGCCTAAGGAACCCTATCAGATACACACAAAGGAATGGAGCAATACCTCCTATGTTGGACATATCTCTTTATTCTTAGATATTTGAAAGTGGCTTTGTAAAAAGAGGGGACAGGACAGGGCATTTAGGCCAAAGGTTAAGACATCCATATTCCAAATAGGAATTTGCCACCACAACCACCTGCACTGGAGGAAGTAGCCCCTCATAATTAAGTTCAAGATATTTCTAAAAGAAAGTACTCTAAGTAGTTCTCTACTCATTCACTGAAGAGCTACAGAGCTGACTTGAAAGAAGACAAAATTCATTCATGATACACAGAAGAGAATGTACTCTTCCTTCAAGGTTCATTGGTAGGTCAGCTTCAGGCCCAGACCTTCTGGGTCTCACTAACCATACAGAGCCCATGCAGGGCCCAAGGCTGCAGAAACACCAGGGCTGGGTGTCCTGCACTCAGGGGCCAGAGCACCCTCACCCCACTTCCCACGGCTTCCCGGGGTCTTGTAGAGGGCAAGATTCATCGTTCTCCAGCTCCTAGAGCCAGGACTGTCTCATGCATTCTGCACCCCTGTACCACTTCCCTTTGGATGATGTTCAGTGGCTTTGACAAGTGGAGCTTGCAGTCCCACCTTCTACACATGGAGGCTGGTGTCAGCCCCTGCTGCTCATTTGCAAATGCTGCTCAGAAGTCAGTCTTTTCAAAACTCAAAGCATACACTCCATACCCTTGAAAGGGAGATCACTGAAGGCTAGACCGTCCTTGGTTCTCTTCCCAACCCCGGCTCTAGAGGGGGCAAAGGTAAGATCAGGTGACCTCCACTCACAGACATCCTAGTTTAAATGACTGAGGCAATTTATTGGTGTTTTTTTTTAAGATTTGCTTTTTATTTTTATTGGAAAGTCAGATATACAAAGAGGAGGAGAGACAGAGAGGAAGATCTTCTATCCATTGATTCACTCCCCAAGCAGCTGCAAAGGCCAGAGCTGAGCCAATCCAAAGCCAGTAGCCCAGAATATCTTCCAGGCCTCCCATATGGGTGTAGGGTCCCAGGGTTTTGGGCCATCCTCAACTGCTTTCCCAGGCCACAATCAGGGAGCTAGATAGGAAGTGGGGCCGGTGGGACATAAACTAGAGCCCATATGGGAGTCTGGTGTGTGCAAGGTGAGGACTTTAGCCATTAGGCTACTGTGCCAGGCCCAGACTCAGGCAACTTATTACTGATCTTCATCATCAGCATCCATCCCGGAGGTAGGGAGGACCAAGGAGGTCACAGAGGCTCTCATCTCTATAGAACATTAATCCATGATCCTGGAAGAGTGGTCAACATCTCTTCTTACTCAAATTCAGTATTGGGCTCCTCCAACACTGATAAGAATTCACCAAATTCATAGTTCTGGAGGACATGGATTCTTACAGTGTGTGGAAGAATAAACAAAAGGATATAACAGGTTCTATAATTACCCCAAAAGACACACCTGATACTGTGACAATCACCAGTCACCATATCTGAAACAGGGATCTTTATTTTTTTTAAGTCCTTATTTATTTTGAAATCAGAGTTACATAGAGAGAGGAGACAGAGGGAAAATGTGGGAGAGAGAGAGAGAAAGAAATATTTTTTCTGCTAGTTCATTCCCAAGGTAGCCACACCAGCCAATGCTGGATTCAGAAGCTACTTCCAGGTTTGTAATATGAATGGGAATAGCCCAAGTGCTTGGACCATCTTCTCTTCATCTCTCCCCATCAGTGGGGAGCTGGATCAAAGGTGGAATACCCAGAGCTTCCAGGAACCAGGAAAAGCAGGAAGGATCCTTCCCTAAGGCCTTCAGGAGGAGCAAAGCTCTGCCACTTAGAGATTTTATTTTATTATATTGTATTTTAGGCAAAGTTAGAGATAAGGAGATAGAATCTTCCATGCACTTGTTCACTCCCACAGTGGTCATGATGGCCAGAGCTGAGTTGATCAAAGTCAGGAGCCAGGAGCTTTGTCCAGGACTTCCACATGGGTACATTGTCCCAAGGACTTGGGACGTCCTCCACTGCTTTCCCAGGCCATTAGTAGGGAGCTGTAACAGAAGCAGAGCAACCAGGACACAAATCAGTGCCCATATCAGATGCTAGCACTACAGTCAGAGGATTAGCTTGCTATGTCACTGCCCCACAGAGCTGTTGCTTTAAGGTCCTCAGTTATGGTTACGTTTTTTTCCAGCAGTTCCAGGAAATAATTCAACTGTCTAGAGACATGGGTTATCTCCTGGGAATGTCAATTTCCAGGACATAAGGTGAGAGGACAGCCTCAAGAAGCAGCCCCCCACCCAGCACCCCAGAATTCATCTATAAGATTCTGTGACTCTGTCATATCCACGGAGGTGGCAATGTTACACCAAGCAACCTGGCTTCAATGCTAGGATGTGGGGGGATCCCCTCCCACCCCCTCCTATCCCCTGGTACACAACAGCCCCTAAAAATATGCTGCCTATCATCTGCCTCCATCATTACACCCACACAAGGGAATTCCAGCATAATACCTAACCTTTATGAAGTCTCCACATTAGTTCAGTATGAGGCTTTAAAAGTAACAATAGTCCGTAACAGCTACAGGACCACCAATCTGAGGCAGTGTTCACACAAGCAGTGTCGGGTCCTCTCGTCTACCACTTCTTTATAGGGGAAAAAAAAATACCAGAGTGAAGGCATTGAGTTGGTGTTGAGGCACGATTTTTATTTCCAGGAAGCAGGCTGATTTTTCACATGAACATGTTTTATTGCCTAGACATTACTTTTCTAAATCTTCCTATTTGTCATTCTTATCTTTATTTATCTGACACCTGTCTATATCAGAAGCAATGCCTGCATGCTATCATAACATTTCTGCTAGAAACATGAAAATCCAGTCCGTCAAAACAAATGCATTTGTTTTCCCACCTTATGGATAAATTAGTGGTTTGATTTTGCTACGTGAAGATTTGTTCAATGCCTGCAGTGACTGGGGAAAAACTATAATAATGATGATGAGAGAAACAGTTACAGGCATCATTTACAAACAGTTACCAAGTGTGAGGTGCTGTGTTAAGCATGCGAGATGCCTGAGTGCATTTAATTCTCACAAAAATACCATCAGATGGAAATGAAAAGGATTACAAATTAGGAAATGGGTCTCAGTGGTTTGGATTGACCCGCCCAAGCTTATCAGTAGCAGTCTTGGGTTGCCAGCCAGGTTTTCCTCTTCCAAGGTCTGTGATAGCCACAACACCCAAGCTTTCCCAGTGAGAAACCACAGGGCTGCATATTCGGGATAAGACAAAGCTTCAGGCATGGCACTAAAGAAGCTGGAGGAAGCATTGTCACAAAGCCCCACTCTGGACCACGTCTGCCTTGTGATGGTGAATGTGCTGCTTTTCTAGGACTGCTAAGATGTTTCTGTGGCCCAGGTGGTTGGAGGGGGAGTAACATGACATGGGTGTGTGTCTGTGTGCACACATGCTTGCATGGTGTGCCTGTGTGGTTCTTATGCATGTGCGTGTGAACATGCTTGCAGGTATACACACGTGTGTGTGCACACATGACACTGGTTGTACCTGTGTGTGCACCATGTATGAAACTGTGCACACGAATGTATCTACTTACATATGTGTGTCTGGGATGGTTCGTGCACCAAACAACGAGAGCAGAGGTTGTAGAGTGAGCCAGGGCCTGAGCTGTTTCCTAGGACAAATTCACTCTGGGAGGCAGAACAGAGGTTGTAGAGTGAGCCAGGGCCTGAGCTGTGTCCTAGGACAAATTCACTCTGGGAGGCAGAACAAGTGGTGGATAGTTGTCCAGCATGTACACAGTCCTTCTGCCTCCTCTCAGGATACATCCAGACAAGTTCCTCTCAGAAGATTCTTCCAAACCTGCTTTTCCTAGTGCTGGGGAAGCGGGGAAAGTGAACACCATTTTCACAGAAGTGCGCTGCTCAGACCTGGACTGGGCCTTTGTGGAGGGTGATCAAATTGACATAAAACTAAACTGTCCCGATGCCATGATATGGGTGGTCCAAGTGGTGGCATAAGCTGTTCTGTGACAAGCACCTCCAAACAACCAGGTCTAGATGTGAGGAGGGTAGGGCCAATGAGCCAGCCGTCCCCCACCCCTGCTTCTGCTCAGCCAGTCAAAGAGGCCCGTGCTCGTGTCTTTCAGGATTTTGCTGACTCGGTATCCCAGCTGGTAACGCAGAAGTTCCGCGAGCTGACAGTGGGCCTGACATCGGTGCACGGCCGCCACAAAGCTCTAGCAGGAATCGTCATGACCAAAGGTAACTAACTACCTCTTCCTCCTCTGGGAAATGCCGTACCCGAAATACGGAAAGTTGGTGTTCACCTGATCCCAAGAGCTAACAGTTCTCCCTTCCACTCAAAGGCATGACGAATATAGCATGCACAAAGCCCAGTGACGCAGATACTTACCAGGAGAAAGTAGTTGGCAATGGAGGCATATCAGAGCTAATAAAATCCGCCTCTGCAAAGAACTGGAAAGGGCCAAGCCAGTGTCTCCCCTATAAGGCATTCCCCATTGTCATGACCCCAAAAGAATGCACTACACCACCATTTCTAAACGCTGGACAGGTTGCTGACTCTGTACCATTGGGCTGATGCGCAGAGATATGCGCTCCTTCCACCGCACTCTCAATGAGCCGAGGACTAGAACTCCGCTGCTGAGCAAGTGCGCCCCCACAGTGCTGGTTCCAGGCAGCTTAGATAATTACCTTGGTCTGTATAAGAGGGAAGAAGAGAGGTATGGAGCGAGGGAGGGAGGGAAGGAAGGCACAAGACTTGTTCTTCCTTATTGTATAGTAAGCTTAATCTTCTTGTGAGGTGATCTTGCCATAGTTCAGATCTGTTCCCTTGTGAGGTCTTTTGATTTTAGTTAAGTCCAGAAGAAAGAAGCAAATGTATTTGTTCACTCCATCCTGTTGAGCCAGAAACATGGGTAGCATTACTGAGTCAAGGAGTCAAAACACAGTTTTAATAAAAAAGTCTAACGCTTCCATGAGAAAGTGATTCATAGAGCAGCTGTTGATAATGATGGCTTTTGTGTGTTATGCAATCATGTAATCTTGACAGCATTTGCACATACACTGATCAAGTTGATTGACACAATCCTGAGGATTGGGAAAGATAATGATTTTTATTGTCATAACTGCAAGCATTGAGACCGAGAGACTAAATGCTTTTCCTACTCCTGAGGGCAGGAGCAAGGACAAACTAAAGCATGGAATCATTTAGTCTTCCTCAAAGGGTCCAGGTTTCATTTAGACACAAGTGTCAAAAGTCAGATGGTGAAGATGCATAACCTCTTTTGCAAAATTATTTTTCTAAGCTGATGAAATAAAGAACCAGGAGAATAAAATTCCTCTGGTGTGTTTTTTTCAGAACCGTGCTTTGCTAATGTGACTTGCAAAACATAATCAGACACTAAGATTGTTAGAAATTTTCTTGCCCATTTACACTAACATTGTACAGGTGCAATTGTAGGGGCTTCTCACAGCCCCCCAGAAAATGCATATCTCCTGAAAATACCCTGGTAAAGTCAAACTTCATAAAAACAGTCCAAAATAAATAAGTCCAAAATGTTAAACCACCCACCTTCCCCATCTCAGGAGAAATGGGCACAGGCATCTTATTGTGAGAACTAGGAAAATGCTAATTAATTCAACAAAGGAACATTAGTAAGTCTTTTCAAGTTTTGAAATGTAGAATACATTTCTGTTGCATACATTTGCTCTGAACCTAGAGAGAACATGAGGTAAAGAAACATGTTTTTACATTTTCCACACCATGCTTCTGGCTTGAATAAAGAATCATGCTATTGTGCTGTGTCAGATAGTCAGTCTTTAACCAGTGTTTTCCTATTTGGACTTGATAAATCATGGCTGTTGAAAGAGTTGCAACTTCTTACATCCTACGAAGAACATGCACATAAATTCATCTTCACAAGGCCTTATTGTAGAATACAGAGTGTTTATTCCTCAAAGATTGCAAAACCTCTTTCTTCCCATTTCCTCTCCCTGAATCACTAACAATCTCCTTGATCTTAGAATGAAAAACAGAGTCCTTCGCTTTGTATTCATTCAGGCATGAGAAAGATAAGCTGAAATAAAAGACTAGACAAAAAAAAAAAATGTTTAAACTGAAACCACATGCTATGATGAAAGTGGTAAATTATCATATGAATTTCAAGGAATTGGTCTTAATAATTGTTAGTGGATACAGAGAAATAGGAAAGTGAGGATATTCCACCATGGATTTATTCAGATGCATTGAGATTCACCAAAGTTTGCGTCTCAATATAATAAGAAGTCTTGATGCACCATTGATTTTACATCTTTGGTTTAAACTGTTAAATTTAGACTACAATGTAAAGAACAGATTTTACTACATCTATAATTGACCCTAGTGTATCAGGAATGCCGACACATTTACACTAACTGTGGCTCCTTGAAAAGAAAAAAAAACAGAATAGCAGTCAGTGACTGGACGCTTGTCCCACCCACCCCACTTACACGTGGCTCGTTTAGAAGTAGTTCAGCACAGAACAAGTCAGAGGTGTCCGGAGGAATCCTCAAAGCCACAGGCCAAATCTTCACAACACACCTTCGTGCAGTAAAGACATGCATGAGAGAAAATGCGTTTTTAAAGGGGCAAAAAAGGCAACGTTTGCTGCACTCTTTGAACAACAGAAACTCTAATCAAAATTGTCCCAAGACATCTGCATTTTTGTGTTCCTTATGTCACAACCAAATATTCCATTTTAATTGCAATTTGACTGCATAAAAAGGCTTCACTGAGGAGAGAAGAATCCAACACAAGGCAAAAAACAAAACTCATCATTAAACCAGCGTTTTAAACTAGGCTTTTATTAATTTTTTTAAAAAATAGATACATGCCCAGCCCAGTACCAGTGGCTGAAGTCCTCACCTTGCACACACCAGGATCCCACATGGTCGCCGACTCTTGTCCCAGCCATCCTGCTTCCCACACAGCTCCCTGCCTGTGGCCTGGGAAAGCAATCTAGGACAGCCCAAAGCCTTGGGACCCTGCACCCACATGGGAGACCCAGAAGAAGCTCCTGGCTCCTAGCTGTAGATCAGCTCAGCCTTAACCATTGGAGTCACTTGGGTAGTGAATCAGCAAATGGAAAATTCTATTCCTTCCTGTCTCTCCTTCTTCTGTTATCTGACTTCCCAATAAAAATAAATAAATCTTCAAAAATACAGACACATAAAACTAAATTTTTGGTGAATGAATTAAAGAAAAGACAGTACCATCTAGTGTTTACCTATGCACCAGGCAATGCTGTTGGGTGTTTAAATCTTATCTTCTTCACTGAACTGCTCCCAAGTTCAATCCTAACCATGAACATCAGTTTCTATGCTCTAGTTAAGGAAATGAAAGAAAAATAGAAAAAAAAGACACAGGAGAAGAGGTAACAGATGGTGAAGGAAGAGAAGAGGTTAAAGAATACGAAGGAGGAAGAATGAGAGGCAGAGAAAAAAAAGAGATAAATGAAAGAATTAAAGCAGCGGTAGAGAAGAAATTTCAGAAAATCACCAGGCATTATCAGTCAGCAGTCAAGAAGAGTGAATTATCATTGACTATCACCATGTGTGGCTGAAGATACAATTAAAAATATTCTGAAGGATTTGGGCTCATTAGAGAATGCATTCAATTCTGGGCAAAGTGTAACCCTTTGAACTACTTGTGGGCTTTTAAAGATGTGCACTTGGGGTCATCGTTTACATTCCTTTGTTATCTGGTTGACCCCATATTTAAATTTTCAGGATGTTTTCCATCTGCATATGTGATGTTGAAAGCATTGTTCTGTGGGAAATATCAGAGGAACAAATGGTGCTATGATAGACACCTCTGTATTGGAAAATGTGTGGGTATTTCACACCAAGAAAATGCAGGGTCTCACGGTTTAATAAGCAAACCACATCGGCTTCTTGTCCAAAGTCTTATCCAAAGCTGCAACTTTCCTCTCTCCTCTGCATGTCTGTTTGCTGGCACACTTCACTACTTATAGCTGCATTGGTATATCCTGTCTCCTGCTGCTATGCTGAGTTTTTGAGTCCTCCTTGATTAACAGCTCTGGAGACAGTATCTATATTTTTTTAAAGATTTATATTTATTTTTATTGCAAAGTCAGATATACAGAGAGGAGGACAGAGAGGAAGATCTTCTGTCCGATGATTCAATCCCAAGTGACCGCAAGGGCCAGTGCTGCACCTATCCGAAGCCAGGAGCCAGGAACCTCCTCCAGGTCTCCATGAGGGTGCAAGGTCCCAATGTTTTGGGCCATCCTTGACTGCTTTCCCAGGTTACAAGCAGGGAACTGAATCGAAAGTGGAGCCGCCAGGATTAGAACCGGCCCCCATATGGGATCCTGGCGCATTCAAGGCAAGGACTTTAGTCACTAGGCCACCACACCAGGCCCAGACAGTATCTATACAGTTAGAAAAGAGAATTTTCACTGGTTTGATGACTGAGGGTTAGAATGCAAAGGGCCATAGTCTCCAGGTTGGGAAGGAAATAAGGCTCAGAGACAGAGGAGGGCTAAACTCAAGGACTGTGCAAATCGGGTCTTTCCATGATGTAACCAAGAAGCTTCAGCTTTGGTACATCCTGGTGATGACCAGCTGAAAGGGTGAGCCAGTAGTTGGTAAAGTCAGAAAGGAAACAAAGGGAGACAGAGAAATTGAATCACAATGGTAGGCTGGTGTAATGCCCATGCCGTGCTAAGCTAGTGAGCACCAATATCATTGGACCAAAAGCAAGGAAGAATATTGTAAACTGACCAATCAGTGTGGGCCAAAAGCAGTAGAAAGTACACAGGATGGGCAGAAGAATTCTTAGGATCTGAATGAGAATTCTCCTTTGAATCGCTTCAAATATGAATCCCTATCTACCTTCTTAAAAATACAGAACACAAGTTGAAAACAAAAATGAGAATATCAAGTAGTAACTTACAGATGAAGAAAGCACTGTCACTTAAAATATTTTGTCCATGAATTATTTATGAGCTCTGGCTTTGCACTCTCATTATTTCTGGTTTTAGCGCCTATAAGGAGACCTTGTCGGGTTATCATCAGAGAAAGAAAGAAAAAGACTGCTCAACGATCAGACCAGGTGTTTCATATTTGTGCCTTTGACATAAAAGAATGAGTTACTAATGGGGCAAAGAGCATGCTCAGCCCAATCCAGTGGGGAGATAAATAGATTTTTCAATCTATTAATTGCAAAGCAGATTCATTGT